CGATGTGGATTGCGGCCTGGTGGACGACGACAGGTTTCTCTTGGCCTTTTCGCACGGTTCTTTTAAGCGTCGCAGTGCTCGTTGTTGTCCTTATGTCTTGAATGGTAATTCCTCTTGATGACGCCCATAAATGTTCTACAACTTATCGGTCGATGTCTTCCCTCCCAAGTAGGTCTCCGGCCTTTGGCTTTAACCGAAAGATCACCTCGTTCTTTGACCCAAGTAAGAGCGATAGGTATCAACAAAGCTTGCCAGCTCACACAAATCGAGATACTAGAAAAAATTCAGGATATGGTTCGCGTTCGCTGATATCCGGCGAATAATGTTGCTTTTCTGATCTTGGATGAACTCAGACCGTAAAGGCAACGCACAGCGCACGCCGTCGGGAGCTCGTTGCGTGAACGAGCTGGAGCCGCACTGAACCCGGCCATAGTTCCGGTGCGATCTTTTAGTCGTCCTTCGCCTTTAGAATGTTGAATTGACTGGCCTGCGACCTTAAGAGAGACCGGAGTCGTTCAGCCGGATGCCCAAATACGACTGTCGGCAGTCGTCTTTCAGTATTTGGAAGAGGAAGAAGAGATCCCTCCACCAACGTGCAGAGAGTTTGCAAGATTGACGACTCCACTTGACCCGATTCTGTTGACGCAGGATTTGTTTGAATGCTCCGAAGACTCTGAAGCACTAGCCCGCGATCATGGAGCGTCGTAGATAGTCGTTGTTCTGGGAGCGAGAATATACGGCTTCCCCTGACCGGCACCGGTCCGTATCGATCTTCTCCTTTTTTTTTTTTCAGAGGAGAGGAAGAGCGCAAAAATGAGCGAGAGAAAAGTTTCCTTGAGACTAGAGAATGAGCGCGGGAAGGATGGTGATTCGAGTGGCTGGTGACGAGTCGGCTGAGGAAAGGACCGAGCACGCTTGCAGCGCGACGTCGGAGGAGAGAGCAATCTGCTCACGCAATGAGTGCCGTCCCGACAGGAGATGTTTCACGGGAGAGGAGAGAGATGAGAGCTTTTCTTACAGTGATGTCCCTCTCGATTCATAATGTTCCTCCGAACCAGGCATTTGTTTTCGCTCGGAGAGAGACGAGACACTCGATTGGGCATCACGTGCGGCAGAGTTCGCCCTGAGGACTGAGAGAGAGAAGGAGAAGAGGTACTTGAGAGAGGGTAGACCAGGATTGTTATCTCTATCCGGCTCATCTTGGCTCCGGAGATCCCACAGAAGGCCGGACGTCCTCCTATAGACGAAGGTCGGCAGATCTACAGGAGAGACGGACAGATGCTGACTTCCACGCTCCTCTGCGGATCCCTTTGATTCGACTCCGTGATCCACTAGTTCTTCTTTTAGAGACCATCGACGATATCTGTTCGGGAGAATAGGATTTCGGCTCGCCCCGATACATCACGTTTATCCTGGGTTTGTCGTCCTCGCCGCTGATAACCTCGAACGGCCAGTTCTCGATTTCCTCGAGCACATTAGGATCGTCGTTCTTTAAACCTATGATGCGCTTTATGTCGTATACGGTGTTGGTGGGATTCGTGCCGGCCTGATTTTTAGCAGCCTCGCCTATCAACCTCTCCTTGTCGTTAAAGGCCACGTAGGACGGTGTGGTCCGATTGCCCTGGTCGTTTGCGATGACCTCCACCGTTCCATTCTGAAAGACGGCAACACACGAGTAGGTAGTGCCGAGATCGATGCCGATAACAACGTCGGACGATTCTGACGATGGCATGTCGATTAGGTGTATTTGGAGCGTCGAACCGTCGGCGTGCTGCGAGATACGCTACTTATCACGGTGGGTGGGTGGTTCCCCCCCCCGTCCCCCTTCCAACCCCCCCCCCAGGCCGTGCCGATTTGTTTTGGTTTTTTTTTCATCCCTGCGCCTGTTTTTGTTAATTTTTCGTGAAAATTGTTTTTGCATTTTTGTGTTAAAAAAAACCGCCGCCAAATGCGATTCCTCCCCGAGGAAGACAAGACTTTTTGGCCAAACCGGGGCATGGGCGGGGGACTCCCTTAATGGGGGGCTGCCCCGGCCCGGTTTGGCGTGTAATCCCTAACACGAAAAAAAAACCCGGACGCCGTCACTTATCGGGCAAATAGATCGTCCCCGTCGTAACCGTTCCCCCCCCTTCAGGTTGTGAACGATGTCAAGCCAGCGGGAAAACGGTATTACCGAAAAATTCAAAAATGTCCCCGTCCGGGTCCCCCCCCGTAACCTTTCTAACAACGACCCAGCGGGAAAAGTTTGGTGAAATACCTTTCCCCCCTTTGGGATTTAACAAACGATTCCCCTTCCTTTTCCCCGGACCGCAAATGGGTCCACCCACCAGTAACACAACCTTGGGCAAAGAGAAGAATACCGACCTTGGCCCCCTCTTTCTTTCGAAAAGAAGATATAACACACCGACTTGGATTTGCCCGCGCACTATGACATACCCGCGTTCCTCGTAGGCCGGCTTATTCGGTCCCTCTCTTAAAAATTTTTTTTACTGAACCGATCAACCCCTCCAACACCTGGGTCAAGGGACGGGGTGAAGACTACCCCCACCCTAAGAGAAACGAACTGCCAACTTATCACGAGAAAAGGGGGGAGAAAAAAGGTGGTGGGAAAATACTAAACCGGGGCCCCACATCCCGAAACCCCACAACTAACTCCCGGAATTTAAACCGAAGAAGAATTTGCACGGTGGGGAAGACGCTCCACCCGTTAACGGAAACCTCCCTGCGAAAGGCCGGAAAAATCCACTAGAAAACCGCTAGCTTCCTTAGAACAACTAACCGCACGGGGCAAAAAAACAAAAAAAAGAAATAACGCAGGCTAATTGTTTGCCCCCGCCCAGTGGTCAAATGGTAAAAAGGGTAATCCCCGGCCTAGGCTAAAAGTTTCTCCCAAGATCATCCCCCGTTGGGGTTTGGGGGGCCACCATTTTGGGGGGGATTTTTCGAATAATTGGAAAACATATTCCCACCCGCCCCCCCCGTTAAACCAATTGAAGCCCAAGGAATAAAACGTGAAGATGAATAGCCGAAGGCAAAAGGAAAAAGGAACCCATCCCCAGAAAAATTAAAACCCACCCCCCACCAATCAATCGCAAGACACACAACACACGAAAAAAAATAATAAACCAAGAAATCCCAGAAACGAACGGAATAAATAATATAACAAAAGTTTCGCCGAAAAGAAAAAACGAACCCCCCCTATGAAAAACTAATTCCATTTGTCGATGGGGTGATTTCTCCTCCCTACCTTATTTTAAGCCCTTTTTTGAAACAAATCATAGAATGAAAGATGGAACGGCGACGGGCCGAAAACCGCCCGCCCCGCATGAAATGGGTTGGGAGGGTGGATTTAAACTCCCTGAAATGACCTGTGAAAAAAACCAGCTCCACCCCCGTTTTGTTCCCCCTCTGTGCGTTTTTGGTGGGGAGGCGTTATTTATTTTTTTTTTGGATTGGTTTGCATTTTTTGGGGGTCCCCTTGGTTGGCCGAATCGCTTGTTTCCCCCGCCATGTTGGGTAACGGTGTAAAAAGCGGGGTCCCCCCCCCCCCCCCCCCAATCCGAGTTCCGACACGAAAAAGATAACAAATTGGGCCGGCCAGGAGAGAAGAAAGAATATAAATCCCCAATAGATTTTCTGAATAGGTCCCCCGAGACGTACCAATACCTGGTGGAATGGGCTTTTGGCGTTCCCAGAGGACACGCCTAAAAATCCTCAATTATGGGGAGGAGGTTCAATAGAACACTTTGTTTTTACGGATACCCCCTTTCCCCCTTGTTAAGAACATTAACGAGAATTTAAACCTCTAAAACCTGTAAGACGAAATTTTTTTTAGGGGATGGGGGGTAAAAAAAAATCGGGAGTAATGGGTCCCCCCCCCTTATCACCATTTTTCGGGGGTTTGTTGTTACTTTATTCCCCGGTGACCATTTTTTTGGTGGGGCCCCTGAACCAAAGAAAAAGAAGAAAGAAAATATAAATAAATGTTTTTTGAAATTCCGAACCCTACGTTTTTTTTAAACTTAATTTCTAAAAACGATCAAATCGTCCCCCCCCCTCATTCATGGAAAGAAAATCAGCTTTGGGGTTAACATAGACCTAACGTGTTTTTTACGAAAAATTTACAAAAAAAGGAGAATTTCGGAATTAGTGCGGTGGCCTAATGTTTAGGTATTAGAGGCCATACGAAATGGGAAAAATGAAATAAAAAACAGAAGTGTGTTGTGGGGATGAAAAAATTTTTAAACCCCGGAGAAAAACCTTTGGCATAATCGTAAAAGAAATAGATTAGAACCGTTTCCCCAAGTGGTGGAAACGGCAGTATAAGTAACGACTTCCGAAAAAAATACGGGGGAGTCACCCCTCTCTGGTTGGATCATCCAACCTCCAAAAGTAAAATATTTTTTTTTTTGTTTTTTTCCTGGCAACACCTGTTCACCCCCCCCCCCCCCCCCCACTTCCCTCTCGAATCAAAATCGAAACGTTTTTTATTGGGGTGGTCCCCCTTTTTTTGGTTGGAACTTGTTAATGGGCCTTCCCTATTTTTTTTTTTTTTTGGACGGGGGGGGGGGGGGGGTCCGGGGCAAACCGTTTCTTTTTCTCCCGTGGTTACCTATCCCTTTTTTTTCCTTATTTCCGTACGAGGGGAATTAGTTTTTGGTCCCTCTGTTGAAATAATCTGGTGGTTAACATCGATACTTTTGGGTCACCCAAAGGTTAGCTTGACATCCTCCGGTCCCTAATTTTTTAAATTGTACGGTGAACTGATGAATGGAAAGAAAAAATTTCCGAAACCAAATTTAACATAATACCCATATTAATCCGAATGTGGGCCCGAACAACGCCAAAAATTCGAGTACGAAAACTACTAATGCCCTAAACTAGTAAAACAATAAGAAGGAATTACGAATTAAGAAATAAAACAAGAAATCTAGAATTTTTTTACAACACAGCAACGAAAAAGAAGAAGAAAAAGTGGTAAAAAGGTGGATTTGGGGCCTTAAAAAATGGAAACCGGCCGCCTTCCCCGGCGCGCGTTTTCTTCGCTTTTTTTTATCTTTGGCCCCCCGCTTTCTTATATAGTTAGGTTTATGGGAAAATAGAATAACCCCTTGTTTTGTCAAATTATCGAATATTGAGTAGGAAAAAAAATAAATGTTATACAAACAGCGCTTGTCGAGTTAGTAGGATCGAGAGATAGTAGATCTGCCGATATAGGTATGGACCGACTACCTACCCTCCCTTTGTCTCCCCTCTAGTCTCCTTCCCCTTCCATAGTGGTTTGCGAAAATAATAATAGCTGCTGCCTTTGCATGGTCTCGAATCGTTTTTTTTTTTTAATCGGAAATCAACAACTCGTTGGTTATTTAGAGATGAATATCGGGTGTTACGGTGTGATTGTGATGGTTGTGTGATTGATTGCAACCCTATTAAGAGATAATTCGAACTGTTGTTGATATCGGAAAAAGAAGACAGTTGTGAGAAAATGGAAGAAAAGACTGTAGACAGTTAGTTATCCCGCTACTCTCTCGGCCCAACCAACACCGACGAAATGCATTGTACCCTGAAGAACACTAAATTGTGAAGATAGAGGATGATGAGATTATTTTTCAGGGGAGAGATTCTTACTTCCAGACTTGCTACAGGGGTTATAAAATACAAAAAGGCGAAAACGAGAGTAAGTGTTTAGTTAGAGGAGGGGGAGGAGTCAGTAGAGGCGAGGAGGAGAGTTTTAGGGAGAGGAAGAAGGAGGGAGGAGTTTTAGTTTTAGTTGTTATTACGATTGTTCTTCCAATCCGAATCTCCCGTTTATTCAGCGAAGAAATGAAAAATGATGAAATGAAAATGAAATCGGAGTACAGTGATTATTGGTCGTATTTGTTTGAATACGGAACGAACCGAACGCACGCAGGACTCTGATGGCGTGTTTTTGAGGAAAGAAGAGGAAAAAAAAAAAAAAAAAAAATAAGGAAAAAAAAGAGGCTTGTATGTTGAAAGGTCTCTGCAAGCATATTTCCCCAAAGACGATATGGTTGAAAAATAACGTGAACATTGATTAATGATGATGGTAGCAATTCCTTAGTAAGAATAGAAGAGGAAAAAAGACCAAGAGAGAATAGGGAATGCTGATTAACGATCTCATTTTGTCACTTTCGATGAGCTTGCTAGCTTTGGTTGCAATTTGCAATGGAGAAATGGGTTCTAAAAATGTACGTTTAACTTAACGATTCGGAGGGAAAGTGGGTGAAAATCTCGGTTCCTATTTGTTTTGCACAGGATATATCAGAGAATATTGGAAATTTACCTCAAAGATGAGGCGGTTCCCCGCACGTCAGTTTTTGCTGCTGAACGACGGAGGAATAGTGAGAGAATATAGAATGTCCAACCCCAATAAAACAAAAAGGAGGAGAAACACAAGAAAAGAAAGGCGGATCAGGGGAACAACGGCACAGTGGTACGGCAAGCAGACACTGCTACTGTCACGACGACCACGAATCTCGACGCCGTTTTTTTTTTTTTTTTTTTTTGTTTTTTTTTTTATTTAGAATAAAGAAAGAGAATTTTTTTTTTCTTTTTTTTGTTTTTTTTGTTTTTTTTTTTTTTTTTTTTTTGTAGAAAAAAGAGATTTTTTTTTTTTTTTTTTTTTTAAGAAAAATTTTTTTTTTTTTTTTTTATGTTTTTTTTTTTGTTTGTTTATTTTCGTATTTTTTTAATTTTTTTTTTTTAGGATAA